GGGTGGTTCTTGGATCCAAGATTGCCTGCGCAAGACCTGTGGGCAATCTTGGATCTTGGATCTTGGATCCGAGCCGAAGCCCGAATCAAAATGATTCGGAAATGATTCGGGCAATGGTATCCCAAAGACCCCCGCTTTCGGAACCGAAAGCTGACATTTAGAAGGGAGAGGCGTGGGTACATGGGGGGGTACCATATATATATATATATATGTGTGTGTGTGTGTGTGCATATCCACATGTATACACATGTACACACCCCCTGACTTGATACATGCGCTACCACTCTTCAACCAATATGTGCCTATCTCCGGATTGTTTGCAACCTTGGGGTACGGACATGCGCTTCTGGTGATAGCATCGGGGCTCGGGACGGCGGCGTATGGTGCAGGATTTCAGTTTCCCTAAAGCTCAAAATAGCCCAAAAGCCTTATACAGTTTGGTCTTTGGGCCCAAAAGCCTTAATTTTTGAGTCCTTAGAGCCTTATGGTTTTGGGTATTCAAAAAGTATTGGCTCCTGACCCGCCAACATTTATGCTACGCCATGAGCTTCATGGTAAATCCCTGAACTTTTAACCTTAAACCCTAAACTGAAAACCTGCAACCCGAGTGCCGAATATTGGGGGTATTTGGGCTTAGGGTCAGCTTCGGGGGTAATTACCGTAGCTATGATCACGAGGTGCTTGGACCCATACTTAGTACGGCGTAAGTCAGACGTTCCCGGTTAGTGATGGTCAAGGATGTGCCAGAAGGTACCTATAGTCTCCATTGTAGTTCCCTTTCTTGGTTTAACCAATTATATATTAAGGAATTTATAAGGTCTCCCCAAAAAGGAACTACAATGGAGACTATAGGTAGTTGGTTATGCAGCCCTGAACATCCCTATGCACTGCTTGGTCCTGCCCAAGCAGCCAAGACTGTGATAAACATATTTGAGCCAGGTTTTGTCCTTTGAGCCGACATTGGGCTGTGCCCAACGACGCACTCTCCGAGCCGTTCTGCGGTCGAAAGGCCTTATGTGGGGGCTTCTCGAAATGTCGTACAAGGAGCTTAATGAATGAGGAGCATTGCATGTATGGCAAGTTAGCGTATGGTTACAGTTTTAAAGCGTGTATATGTACACGTGGTATACGCATTTTTCCAAGGAGGCATGCAGCACAGTTCCAGAAACACATCAAGCAGCGAGGCCAGCAGAGTAAGCCAGAGTTGGAATCCCACTACAGAAATCCTACTTTCTACTATGTGGGTACTTACTGCATCGACCCAAACCCTAAGCCCTTAAGCACTATCCCCTGGGCCCCTAAAACCTTAAAGAAAACCAAACCCCAACACCCTAAACCGCTGGGACCCACAACCCTAAACACCGGACCCCTAAACCCTAAAGCCCTAACACTATAAGGTAATAGAATAAGATTTGATAGACTGCAATCCAACAGAATAGATAAGGTTAGATCATATGATATTATATCACATATTCCGTTCTATGTCATATTAAAGGCTATCGTTAGATTGTTGTATTGCTGTATGACTCTGTATGATACAGTACGACATGTTATTGTCAGATTGTTGTATTGTGTGAGTCTGCATGATAAGATATGACATGACTGAATATAATGTGATGTAACTTAATACTGTATAATATCATGCCGTATACTTTTATATATACTATGTTATTACAGGACATCATTGAAAGAACATACCGTGTAACGGCCCTAGATGACCTCGTGTAAATCTCATAGAACGAATCTACCAATGGAGCTGTAGAACCCTCGTAGCACCCCACGCAAGAAACGCCACAAGGCTCACAGGCCACTTCTGTTTAGGGGTGAGGGGTTTAGGATGTAGGGGTCAGCGGTTTAGTGATTAGGGGTTAGGGGTTTAGGGTTATATGGGGGTTTAGGGTTAGGGGTTTAGGGGTTGGGAGTTTGGGGTTTCTTCATTTGAACACCTGGCCTGTCTCTGTCTCTTCTACAGGCTTTTGCTGGCTGGACACGGAGCCCCTGAGACAACATGTCTGGGCTCATGCTGGCAGGAGGGCGGTGGGAAGGGATGGTGCGCTTTACGAGCTTAGTTGCAGCTTGTACCTTTGATGTAGGGGTAAGGGGTAGGGCTAAAGACTTACAGCGTTGACTAGGCTCCAACACAAAAGCATGTAGCAGCACCTGGGATCCTACCTCAAGGGGTTGAGGGCTTTTGTTAATGAGTTGGTTGGCCTGAACTATTATTATTATTATTTTTATTATTATTATTATTATTGTTATTATAATATATATATATATATATACATACACACACAATTCCGTAATGCCCGGACTACGTGATGCGTTCTCTGTGATCACAGCTTATCTCGAACCCGTCAGGCGTGCTATTCAAAGTTTTACGGTGCTCATCTTCAATGCAACTGTCTGCACAAACCGGGTCAGGTGTTGCCAAGCCCGTTTAGGTCGAAGCACAAATTCTAGCATCAACATGATCTCTGGTTCACGAGCTGCCGGTTCTCGTTGGTAGCGACGCGACGAAAGCTGCTTCTACGGCCTGCCTATGCAGCACGAGAATGGGATGGGCAGGTTCGGCAAATTATTCCCCCGATCCGGCGACACCATGATCGATACTTAGTTATGAGGACCTCATGGCCGGAAGATTTCACATTGAGGCCCTCGACGACAAGTTTCACCACACATATGGTCTATCGAAAATCAGAGCTTCAGGGCTCAAACCCTAAACCCCTACACCCTAAACCCTACACCCTAATGATGGGGGTTGAGGGTTCAGGACTTCAACTTGACATCTTGCCGTTTTGGGTTTGCTTGGACCCTGAGTCGCATTGTTGCGTGGTTGGCTTCTTAGAGGCTTCTTGGTTTAGGGCTTTGAGTTTATAGGGCTTAGGGTGTAGAGTTCAGGCCTTGGTCTGGATGAGTCCGTAGCCGTAGAGATGTGAGATACCCTAAACTCCGTGACTAAAAAGTCGTCCTAGAACCTAAACCCAAACTAGCTTTCGATTGGCTTCAGACAAAACGGTACGAACCGAGATACTCCTAGTGACGAGCAGAGGACGATGGAGGTGAAGCCGGACGAATGGTGGTGGTCACTGCTGAACGACGAGCAGCAGAAATTCCGCATGACCTATCCTGGCTCCTTGGCCTCATACATTCCTCCTTGAAGCCCAGTTACCGGGGCACGGATATCTGTAGCCATTCCGGAGCAGCAAAACTATTGCTTGTAGGCTCGGAAAGACATATGCTGCGGAATTTCCCTACACGCATTCGAGCCTTTCGATGTTGTTGACCGATCTTTGGCAGGCTGGTGCTTGTCTGAACGGGTAAAAATTTCGTAGCTGAGCAGGTAGGCTTTGTGTGGTGATGATGTAGCCCCCTCTTGAAACACGAAAGCCCCACATCCAAGCCTCAAGCCCCCAGGCCCTGAGGGAATACCCGAGGAAAGGTATGCAGGGCCTTTTGCACTTCCAGTTTCAGGAGATTCAGGACTTGGGACTCAGGATGTAGCTGAACATGAGTCAGACAAAAACCCTAAACCCTAAACCCCAAGCCCTAAACCCCAAACCCCAAAGCCCAAACCCCAAACCCTAAACCCTAAACCCTAAACCCTAAACCCCAAACCCTAAACCCTAAACCCTAAACCCTAAACCC